TATGCCATAAAACATTCCAGCAAATCTGGTTCATTGGTTGAAATGAGATTTTGCCCTACAAAAAAAACAAAACTGCGATGTAAGAACATGGTGCAAAAATGAGTACATTCAAGTGAAGGTCTTAGGAATGAAACTTGATAAAATGCTAATTAAGAGGAACTCAATAACAGATGAGTCCACTCAGTCATCACATAGGTGGCGACTAGATAATTAATGGTGGTATTTAAGAAATAAAATCCCCTCCCATTCAATGCTGACAATAATGGCACTACATGGAAGATAAATGTCAAGACTCTAGAACGAAAGTCATTTCTTTACACAAAAAAAGGTTAAGGCTACAAGAAAATCAGTAAAGGACTGCAAATCAGTCAGACTACAGTAGCAAAAGTGATTCAGAAATTCAAAACGGAGAAGCCTCCTGAGATGTCCAGGCCCTCTATGGAAGCTAACATCTCGACATGAGCGTTTGTGATGTGAACAGTTGAAGAAAATCACCACACAAGTTTGTCACAGTCAGCTAAAGCAATAGAAAGCCAAGCTAGGGTGATTGTTTCCAGTGACATTGTATGACATACACTGCAGAGGAGTGATGTGCAAGGGTGCTGTCTGTGAGGGAAGCCACTGCTCAAGCCAGTGCACAGAAAAGCCAGTTTAACATTCGCCAGGACCCTGGTGTCAAAGGTGAAGACTATTGGGACTGATGAGACAAAGGTAAATGTTTTCGGAATGGATGGCGTCCAAACTGTATGACGTCACAAGGGTGAGGAGTATGATGAAAAATGCATGGTACTCACAGTAAAGCATGGTGGCAATGTTCTTCTGTGGGGGTGTGTGAGTGCTGCAGGTGTCGGGGAATTACACTTCACTGATGGCATCAGGGATTCACAGATATGCCGAAAGGGAAGATGAAGGAAGTACCAGATGTACCATCTCTCCATGCCATGGGTCACCTGGCCCAAAACATACATCCAAGGCCACTGCTGCATTTCTGAGGAAGAACAGGGTGTCAGTGATTCTGTGGCCAAGCATATCAGCTGACCTCAACCCAAAGGTCAGCTGTGGGGAGTTCTGGAAGGACAGGCTGAGCATCATTCTCCATCCAGCATCCTGGTTCTGGAAGGACAGGCTGAGCATCATTCTCCATCCAGCATCCAGAAGGACAGGCTGAGCATCATTCTCCATCCAGCGTCCAGAAGGACAGGCTGAGCATCATTCTCCATCCAGCATCCTGGTTCTGGAAGGACAGGCTGAGCATCATTCTCCATCCAGCATCCTGGTTCTGGAAGGACAGGCTGAGCATCATTCTCCATACAGCATCCTGGTTCTGGAAGGACAGGCTGAGCATCATTCTCCATCCAGCATCCTGGTTCTGGAAGAGCTCATTCTCCAATAATGAACAAAGATGTGGCTGTATGTCACCAACTTGTTCATTCCATGTCTAGAAGAGTTAGTGCTGTTCTTAAAAATAATAGCGGTCATACAACATATTAGTTTTGGTTGAATTTGTTGTAGGGTGTACTCATTTTTGCAACACTTCATTTAAATACAGTTTACAATTTTCTTATCCTAATGATGTTGGTGATCAAGTTTTTATGTTAATGAAACAAATGTTATAAAACTCAGTTTTGTCAAAAATCTGCTAATTGTTCTGGTATTCACTGAGAAATGGATAAAAATCTTAATTTTCAAATTTCATTGATGCTGGGCACTGTATATATGTATTCTCTCCTTCACTGGGGTGAACTCCAACGTACAAGCGCTGAACTGGGGGGCTGTCAGTAAACCTACAGCTGCTCAGCCCCCCTCAGCCTGGGTAACTCCAGAGTGGAGTAGAGTCCAGGCCCTTGTGTGTTGAGGTGAATCTGACTATAGATGGTCTCTCTCTGCCTCCCGCACCACCTGCGGCTCCTTGCTCACCAGAGAGTCACATTCTTCGTTCCTAAAGCCAGCTTCAGTAGCTGGGGGGTCAGACTGCCAAGCCCTCTGCCTTCGACTGCTGCCCAGTCCAGCACAGCGGACCCTTCTGGCTCCTCCTGCAGGTGGTGGGCCCAAAGGAGAGTGGGTCCATGTGGCCCATTCTTACTGTATTTGGCAGGGTCCCATGGGTGAAAGCCCGACCACAAGGCGCTTGCCAATGACCCCCCCCCAACCACCCTGGCTCCAGGGCGGGGCCACGATAGGATTTTAGGGACATACAAACCCATCCACCACAGTAAGGTGGCGATTCATGGAGGGGAATCTCAGACCGACATGCCAGTTTCCTTGCACATGCCCAGTTGCCGTGCACCAATGCAGTCTGCTAGACCCATAATGTGGGTTGCACACTTACAGTCAGCTTGGACACCCCTAATTACAAAATTTAAGTCACTCACCCTAATGCCACATGGAAAAGTGTGAATTGGGCTTAAGATATCTCTCAGGGGAATCTGATTATGGTTTTCTTTTTCTTTAGAAAGATAAATAGCAAGATGCAACAGAAAAAGGCCATACAACAGGTGAGTTGAGAATTTTAAACGTTTTAGTGTGACTCAACCACATCAAACCATTTTTTGTGATAAAGATTCTGTCGAGGTGTAACAGCAGTGCTTATCAGTGTGATCCCCCCCCCCCGAAAGTCCTGTCAGATGTCAGCACCAGACCGACAGTTTACAGCCACACCATTGTCAAGCAGTGAGAGGTGGAGACCTGCAGAGGGCGCTCCCACTGGCCACTCATCTAGGAGCTTCACTCATTCCAGCTACTCAGGTCAGACTGTGTAGCTGCAGTGTACATTAAATAACGTTACTTGCACTTTTGGGAGTTTTCAGTACAACATCAATGCTTTAACAGGTCAGAACCTGCCCTGTGAAACCAGGCTGATGGACTATGAAGACCATGTGTCCACAACTCCGGAAAGGTACTGTGCACAGCTGTATTCATCTGACTGCCAGATTTGACATATAGAGTCCTATTTTCCACCCAGGCAAAATGTGACGGATAGTGGCTTTGCTAGTTTCATACCATGCACACATGTCGTCAAAATAGCTAATGATTTTGTGCTGGCTTTTTGCACGTAGGAGTAATATTTTTTTTTTATGAGGTGTGGCCGGGGAAATTGTCAGCACATTGCTGTTTTAAACCAGCGGAATGACATTGCGCTTTTGACCAGGAAAAACCACGTCTAAAGTTAAACATAATTTAAGTGGCACGTTTTAGAAACATGCGGGTGCAGGATGCTCGTTATTGGCACAGTTATGCGGTCAAGGTGCACTAATGGTTACAGAGTACCTCTGGTCCTTTCACATAATTGTACCATATATACAGTATATATAGTTGTTTAATTAAAAAGTAAAGAATAAAACGTAAACCGTATCATTAAAAAATCAGGTACCACTTTACAGTAAGGCTCCCCTTTGTAACTCATTAATAAAAAGAAAACTGTGGCATAACTTGTTTATAATTGTCTATTAATGATTTATGAAGTGTTTCAACCTAATTAGTAACCTGCTTATAAACCATTCATAACCCCTTTATAAGGGTATCCTTATTGTCATGTGGTACCAAAAATCATTTGAGTTCATTATCAAAATAAGGCATGTACTGCAATGGAAAGGACATCTGGATTGTTGAAAATGCATTTCAGATATTTAGATGTCTGGTGGAACATTACAAAACAGCCCTCAGAAAGTCGCAGCATTCTTTGTGGCATGTTGCGTGACATTGCCACACATGATGGATGTCTGTTGGACATAAATGAGGACACATTAGAGGGCTTTAGAAGGCGTGGTGCTGAACTGCATGTGCTGATGCAAATAAAGGAGTCTATGCCGGCAGAAGCCTGGTAAGGAATAAAATAACAGCCCTATTGCACTTTATTTGAACATTTTTAAACACCTCAAAAACTGTAGGTTGTGTTTTGTTTGAACAAAGATCGCACTTTTACTTATATGTTGCGACCTGCAGACCCAGAATTAAAATTAAAAAAAAAACATAAGCACAATTAAGTCTCCATTCCCAGCCGCTGTGTGTGTTCACTTCCCCATCCTCTAACGTAATGATACCGCTTTGCGCACTGTGCAAATGATCTGGCGATGCCAGAAAACAAGAACACACTGGTGCTCCCGTAGATGATCAGCTCGCGCATTTTCAACTCGTGCACGAGCACGTCCGTTTCCTCGGCCGAAAAGCACTCTGGGTTGCCAGGTTAAATGTGCAGTTGTAATAGCCATCCGGCGTAGATCATGCACCACTGCCTTTAACAACAACCTTTTTGCACCTCGCGCAAAGTCTGTTTTTTCTGCCTACAAAATAGCGAAATGGATTTAAACACGTCCTTAAATGTTGAACTTTGTGCTTTATGCTTTTGCGCTAGATCCTCAAAACAGAGCCCATTGTCTTACTCATTTTGTGTCCTTTGCGTTCCTCTTGAAAGGGTGAAGCAGGTGCCTCCACCCGCTGTGGGGGTCTCATCCATTTACACAAAGGAGATGGAACTGGCATCACCTCATATGATTCCTGCCTCCATCCAAAAGACCATCCAGGAAGAGAAAAAACAATTGAAGTCATGGATGAAGGAAGCATTTAAAAATAAGGGGCTGGGAAAACCTCCACATGCTGTCAGGGAGAACACAAAACAGACAAGGCCTTCCCTCCCTGCTATGCATTCTGCCTCCGCCCAAGTGACAATCAAGAAGGAGGAGACACAGGGAGAGTCATGGGTGGAGAAAGCACGTGGAAATAAGGGGATGGTGAAAGTGTTGGAGGGAAATGGGCCTCAAAGCCCAATGCTGGAGGTGCAGCAGCAGCCGGATGGGCTGCAGGACACATACAAGGAGCAGGTGAACCAGCTCCAGCAGGAACTAGAGGAGATGAAACGCAAGTGTGAGAAACTGCAGGTGATGGAGACAGAGCTCCAGAGGAGGGTGAGTGTGTATGACAGCATGGGGCATGGGTGTCATCCATTTTAATGGGTGCAGTTTCCAAGGCATTGAAATATACTGCCTGTTTTCTGCATAATAATCAGATCATTGATCTTTACTGCAAGGATATAACCAGTTTATTCATCTAATTAATTCAGCTGGAGAGTGTTTTACCCTAATTTACCCCAGCACAGGCACACAGACACTCAAACATGCTTAGATGCACCGTCACTCACTCTGTTCTCTACTCAGCTGAAGGACATGGAGATTGAGAACTGCAATCTGTCCTGTCAGTGTGAACAGCTGAACGTCTTCCATGAAGAATCCTGCAGGTAGAACCATAATCAATTACATTTGGCAAGATGGGGCTGATTTTTGCAACTAATGTAAAAGCCCTGTGTTTTACATGGAATATACTCACATAGATTTTCTAAACCACTGGCTGAACTGACTATAATGGTTTCATGTTACATGGGAGCTATTTAAATTTCAGTAGCTTCTTTAGAAAATGAGTTTGCTTTGCTTGTTTTGTACCCCTGACTGTACATAACTGTTATCATCACCCTGCAATCCCCAGAAAGCTGAGAACCCTCCGGCAACGCATCGGCCGTCTCCTGGTGACTATTTTGCCTACGTTAGACTTGGAAGAGATTAATTTGGACAGTGATGTCATGGATAAGATACTCAACCAGGCCTTGAATGAGGTTACCGAAGTCTGACTTGGTCTCCATTCTGGGTGGCCCATCCAGTTTTTAGCAGTGAAATGTTTTGCAATGAAAAGATTATAAACTCAATCATTTGCTAAAATATGTAAGCCATAAATACGTAAAATACGTATACCATAGAGAAAATCAGTGTATAGGTTGGAAAGGGGGAAAGATTAAACCTATTACAACAAATGTGCTTTTCATGTGATTTATTTACAAATAGTGACTGGTGACAGACAATTGGCTCAGACATGGATACTGCCAAAACAAAACACCTCTAACTAATAACGAAATCTTCCATTCTGCCAAAAAAAATAAAGACAACACACTAGACTTAACTACCTAACTAATCTAATAATAAAGACAAAAAAGACACATAATCTAGAACAGGGTAGCAATATGCACAAACCGCACAAACACCTACCCACCATAACAGTACATTCCTACTATTTCATGGGGTAAATCATTTAAAATACCATAATACCATGATATACCAACTCCTCTTTGAAAAAACAAACTTCTAGTTTCTAATTTGCTTTTATTTTTAACTACAGAATAGCAGCCAGCATATTAACAAATCATATCATGTGTTGAATCGATATTTTGTTAAGCGTTTAAATATAGATTTTTTTTGCTTGTACCCTGCACTTAGAGGTCAATAAATCATTGTAAAACTACACTCACAGATCACTTTATTTGGAACACCTGTTCATCTGTGTTATATCACAATCCAATACATCACAATCTGTTTATTCATGCAATTACCTAATCACCCAATCATGTGACAGTAGTGAATTACATCATGCAAATACAGATCAAGAGCTTCGGTTTTTTTACATCAAATACCAAAATGACAATGTGATTTCAGTGATTTTGACTGAGCATTATTGCTGGTGCTAGATGGGCTGGTTTGAGTTTGTACCTGCTGATCTCCTGGGAACTCCTAGATTTCACTCAGAATGGTGCTAAAAAAACAAATAACATCCAATGAGCAGCAGTTCTGTAGACAAAACTGCTTTGGTGCACCTCGAATGTTGTTGAGAGAGGTCGGAGGAGCATGGCCAGACTGGTTCCAGCTGACAGAAAGTTAACTCAGAAAAGCACTCTTGCATTCATTTGGCAAAAAAATTCTGCAAAGTAGTTTATCGTTCATAAATCATTGTAAATCATTGTAAGCATCATGATCTCCAGACGGCCCCCCTACACAGCCCACCTCCAAAAAAATCATTACTGTAAGCTCAACATCTCAGTGTTATCAGGTTCACCAGATCTTCATCCTGTGACTGTCCTTTCCTGTGCCACCACTAGGTGACACTGCTTCTGTTTTGGTGCAGTTTGTCTCAAAATGAAATTGGTTCCAGACCTTCTCCTATGTAAAATTACTTTGGTGATTGAAAAAAATCCAGAACAAGAATCCATTTCACACTACAGGTCATGGCATCAAAATAACTCCAAACTATGAACTTACACCAAACAAAATGAGTTAAATTATAAAAACTGTGATATCAATGGCCAATAATGTAATCATATGAATTTCAAATAAGAAATAGTAATAACACATTAATAAATGATATCATAATTGCCTAGTAACCACTCGAAACGAACCTGCTGAACTTGTCAAGAGTAGTGATGGCCAAAACAAACACTTGGTGAACCATTTGCAGTATTTTCTGACCCCAATAGATGGTGCTCTTGGTTTACTTTGGAACAGGCTTTGAAGCCTTTTTCGAACATACAGCGCCATCTAGTGTTCTCTGTTCGAAAGAATAATTAATTCACGAATTGGGTATCGTTCACTTAGATACTGTAGCTGTCTTTGCCAGCAAGTAATGTTTCCCACTAAGACCATATGGCTTTATAGATTGCATAGTGTTTTTCTCGCTGACTGAAAATCGCGCAAATAGAAATGGGTCGTATTGGACTTGGGTCGTAATATATCAATCGCGTTAGAACAGATTCGTGATGTGATGTCATGCATGGTAGCAGAACTGACTGTTTTAGTTATTGTCCATCCATCCATCCATCCATCTATCCATTCATCCATTTTCCAAAACCGTTTATCCTATTTGTGATCATGGGGATCTGGAGCCTATCCCAGAGGCCATGGGAGCAAGGCAGGGAACAATTAACGCAGGATGGAGCACCAACCCATCGCAGACGTTTCAATTAAATGTTATTTGAAATGGATTTTAACCATAACACTAACCATTCTCTTGAACTGGAAAACAAGGAAAAATGTAAATGTCCTACACTGGTAAAACCTCCTAACTGATTTTCTCAACTTGGAAAGTTTTTCTGCCTCAAATAAAACCAAATCCCCACTCTATAAGCACACCTGGGCGAAGCTCTTATATACAAAATCTATACTAATATCATATTTTGCTTCCCTTTCAGTGTCTTCCATTCATTCTGACTCTACTTGGTTCATATCTATGTCACCATTAAGATTTAGTTACGATCGCTCGTCCACCCCCGACCACATAAGTGTACATGCATGCACACACACAGACACACACAGACACACACACACACACAAGCATACAAACTCATAACCAACATACACACTTACTTCCTTCAGTATTTGATTCCCTGTTGTGACTTGAAATTGCATACAGTAACCAGAATACTTCTGTAGCCTAATTTAGGCTATTAGTGTCAGCTACGCCTAATATAGTGCACAGAGCGCCACCTGCTGGTATCCATAATATCAGCAAGAATGAAATAATCATAATACCTGTAAGTTTATTGGGAGTTTAGTATTTTTATCAGCAAGTATAAAATGATTGCATCCAAAAAAATTATTTGGAGTTTAGTATTTTAGAGTTTCAGTATTTTCCGCATAAAACAGTGCTTGGTTGATGGTCCGACAAATTTCATTTTTAAAATTCAGATCATGAGAAGACCATTGGGTTAAAACAATTTGTGATCGTAACCACTAATGAAACAAGAGCAAATATGTAATTTCTTATTTGTTATTTCCTGCTAATTTCTTGACTTTTTAAAGCTTGGTGATAAATTGTGTCACATTCGTTTCATTATCTTAGGCATAGCTGTGGGTAGCAGTTAAAACAGGCTGATGAATATGGACTAGTTGAATGAGGACTTATTGTTGAGTCTCTAAAATAGTCATTGAATTAAGTGACTTTTGTAGGTAAAATTAGGTGTTTAACAATCTGTTAAAAATACACCAGAATGCAGGAAATAGCATCTAATTCATTTTTTTTTTTTTAATCTGGGGGAGGGTCCCCAGACCCCCCGCCAGTGTGTGTCCCCCACATTCAAAATGCTTCTAACGCCCCTGGTACAGAATAATATATATATTGTGCAGTCAACTTGACCACATTGAAAAGAAATCTCGTGCTTTACGGTCCCCTGATTAGTGTCGGTGGAGAGTCGACGCCAATGTCCTTCACCGCAGGAACTTTTTTCCGGAACCGGGAACTTCTGTCGTGTTCGTACTGCGGGATTGCAGTCCCTCGGAAGCACAACTGGGGAGGCGATTACAGCGATTTATCTTGTTAACTGGGTGATCCCAAGCACCGGTGCTAACTTGAAAATTACGTGTAAGTGAAGAGAAATAGAATTAACGGAGCAAAAAGTGAAACACTCGTGAAGCACAACAGCTTGAAGTATAACCTTAAAAAAAATAGATGCGCTGACGGAATAGCAGCTGACCGCACCTTATGTTAATTTACCTTTTGGTGTTTATGTTTTTAAAAGCACTATTTAACATAATGATTTTTTTCTCTTAAGCACTACTTTTTCCTTTAAAATAAAACATTACATTGTTTCTGTATTTATTACAAAAACATTCGATAATACAGTAAAGATGGAAAACATGTGAATTTTGTGCTGGTGCTACTAAAATTTTCAGTTAGTAGCCCCGGTACCAGAAAAAGTTGACCCGCTACGCCAAAGCCATAAGCCGCGGTTGTATAAAGAGCCTGTATTGGAAGTGTCGTCTTCCGTAAACCAATCAGTTTCGACAGCGGCGTTTCAGATTCAGTAGGGGCGTGTTTGAAGAGAAAAATAACGCCACTGGGCATGCGTGGCGTACGGCGACGTCATTCATTCGCGACTTGTATTTACACATACAGGACAGTAATGGCGACGAGAAGCAGAAAATCTGACTGTTTTGTGTGGACTGACGACGAGGTGGAATTATTGTTAAAGATAACGCACGAGTATAAGTTGAGCAAAGCGGCAGAAAATACAGACTGGGAGTCGTGTCAGTCCAAATATAGCGACATTTTGCAGCGCTACAAGGAGCACTACCCGTCCCGTGAAGAAGCGCAAACTTTGGCGAAGGATTACCCACACAGCTTAGAAGACATCTCAAAAGTAATAATTTCGACAAAGCTTAAAGCTGTGCGTATTAAATACAGACAAGCTCTCGACTCGGGAAGGAGGCGCGGGCATGGGAGAGTTATTCTCCTGTATTTCGAACTGTGCGAGGCAATATGGGGAGGATCTCCCGCCACTCAAACAATACCACATGGTATTGAGTCCGGTGACATGAGGGGACAGACGGAAGACTCACTCAGCACCAGTACTTCACCTGGGTCATCCATTACAGACGCGGAGAAGGATCCAGTTGCCGTGGCTGCCGAGGTGGAGAGGGGACGCGACAGATTCGGTGCTACCTTGTATGGTTATAAAAAGGACAAACTGAAGCGTAAGCTCTCAAGCGATCTCTCCCTTGCGCAGGAGGATTTGAACATAAAGAGGAAATTACTCCACCGACTGGAGGTAACAGATAAGGAATTTGCAGACACCATGGGCAAGATATCATCGACAATGGACAGGCTCACCCATAACATCGAAAAACTGACGAGCTATATTGTGGATACTGCAGATGTAAGGCAGCACCTGGCTCCTCCACAAAGCCTCCTGTGCGTTCCTGTTGAAAGCAGGAAGCAAGTACCTCCACATGCTGTCAGGGAGAACACAGAACAGACAATGCCTTCCCTCCCTGCTATGCATTCTGCCTCCGCCCAAGTGACAATCAAGAAGGAGGAGACACAGGGAGAGTCATGGGTGGAGGAAGCATGTGAAAATAAGGGGATGGTGAAAGTGTTGGAGGGAAATGGGCCTCAAAGCCCAATGCTGGAGGTGCCGCAGCAGCCGGATGGGCTACAGGACACATACAAGGAGCAGGTGAACCAGCTCCAGCAGGAACTAGAGGAGATGAAGCGCAGGTGTGAGCACCTGCAGGTGATGGAGATAGAGCTCCAGAGGAGGGTGAGTGTGTATGACAGCATGGGGCATGGGTGTCATCCATTTTAATGGGTGCAGTTTCCAAGGCATTGAAATATACTGCCTGTTTTCTGCATAATAATCAGATCATTGATCTTTACTGCAAGGATATAACCAGTTTATTCATCTAATTTATTCCGCTGGAGAGTGTTTTACCTTAATTTACCCCAGCACAGGCACACAGACACTCAAACATGCTTAAATGCACCGTCACTCGCTCTGTTCTCTAGTTAACTAAAGGACACGGAGATTGAGAACAGCAGTCTATCCTGTTATTCTAAACAGCTGTACATCTCACAAGAAGAAATATGCAGATGGAAACGGTTACATTTGGCCTGTGTTTTACATCAATATACTCACACAGTTCATATGCTCCCTTAACCTTTGGCTGAACTGACTATAATGGTTTCACGTTACATGGGAAGCTGTTGAATTTCAGTAGCTTCTTTAGAAAATGAGTTTGCTTTGCTTGTTATGTTACGCTGACTGCATCTAACTGTTATCACCCTGCAATCCCCAGAAAGCTGAGGAACCTCCGGCAACGCATCGGCCATCTTCTGCTCACCTTTGTCCGTACGCTAGCCTTGTAAGAGATTAATATGGACAGTGATGTCATGGATAAGATACTGGATGAGGTCTTGAATGAGGTTCCTGAGGTCTGACTTGGTCTCCAGTGTGGGTGGACTACGTAGGTCAATTCTTACTTTGTCCATTTTTTTTTTATTATACAAATGTTTTTTGATTAAAAAACAAACTCAAATGTTTATGTACTTAAGGTATATTCTTTATATTTTGCATGATAAAACATTTCAAATATCACAACTGGCATACTTTTCATTCTCATTTCTAGTTCATTTTCAAATTACCTACATAATAGCATCCGGCATAATAACAAACCACACTTAGAGTAATAGTTTTTTTAAACCTTTAAATGTAGATTCTTATTTACTTGCGCTCATTTGATACCTTATCTCCTTGGTGATTTTAAGGTCAGTAAATCATTGTAAACCTAGATCCTGTCAGAACAGCAACACTGTATTCTCCAGATGGCCCTGTCCCTCCTCCCACCCAAATACTCCAGTCCTTCGCCCCCTACCCACACTCCTCACCTCTCCAGAAATTGCTTTAAAAGTCCAACTTATCTCGGTGTGATGAAGTATGCAAGTCCTCTCATGTGCCACCACTAAAGTAACACTGCTAACATTTTGGTGTGGTTTGTCTCAGAATGAAATCAGTTCTAGACTGTTTCCTATAGAAAGTTTTTTTCCTCTCCTGAAGCCCTATAGATGCCACACAGTAGAGTTCATCTAGTGGGCAAAAGGCAATGTGTTTGTTGACTTGTCTGAATCTGAGATCTGCACAAAAATATGTAAAATAAATTCCAAAAATAAGACTGCATCATAACAACAATAATGAACTAAACCTCGTGTAAGTCCTGTTTTCTATATGACCCTGGGCTGCACTGGGATTCAAAATCAGCCATGGACTTTCCCCCATGATAAACTTTGCTGTTATACCAGATGTCCAGTCCAGCCCTGCTACTACCGAATATGGCTGCGTATCAGTAGCAATAAACACTCCCTAAACGCCTTAGTTATTATTTTTTTCTGTCCAAGTCTGAAATTCCTGGCAAAATGTCTGTGCCATGGAGAGACAGACTAGGGATGGGCAATATCACTTTTTTTTCTTTTTGATTTGATGGTACTAACATTTATATTACCAGGTGAAAAAAAAATACTTTTTTAAAGTTTTTCAAAATAAAACATTCAGATTGATATAATCGATACTTTAGTATCAATCCCCGTCGCAGAGGCTATTTCTGCTTTGCTCTGGTCCGCACACACACCTTGATGATGCTGTCTCAAATGGGACAGCATGCTAGATGTGTTTCCAACAACATCTTGAGTTCAGTATAACAGCCACCAGACTTCGTCTTAACAGTTACATTGACTGTAGCGTTGGTGCAATTTAATGGGAAACCACCGATTCTGACTGACTACGTCCAGCATCAACCATAATCAACTCACAACCACAACTAGCATAATGTTTTAAGTGTTGAACATCTACTTGTGAAGTTCCACCCATGTCAATAAATATTAATTTGTATCATTGTGCATTCGGAGCCAGAAATGATGTAACTAAACAGCACATGATGAATATGTGTACTGTTATATTCAAATCCATCCAGCTTGTCCTATTCAGGGTTGTGGGGGTCTGGAGCCTATCCAGAAAGCTTCGGGTGCAAAGCAGGGAATAACCCTGTATGGCCAACCCACTGCAGGGCTCACACACCATTAATACCTACAAACATATTGCTGACTCCAATTCACCTTAACACCTGTTCACATTCAGGTAAGAAAAGGTGTTTACAAAGGGTTAAGAACAATTAAGATCTGTGGTACTGTGCAAAAGTCTTAGGCAGTCAAAAGAAATGTTTAAAGCTGTTTATCTGAGTACTGAGTGCACATTTGCTTGTAACAAAGAAAACACAATCTAACATTAGAAAATATCCACATTGAGTAACAATAAAAACCAGTAACTAGTTTTTTATGTTCTCCAAAAAGTCACTGATATCTAGTTGGATGGCTAGATGAACGGCATCTCCTCAGGGGCACCCCAGCCATTCCATGTATTTATAAAATTTTATCATCAGTTCACTTATTGAATTTAAACTTAATTAGCTATACGAGATGTGCTAGGGGTCAAGGCAAAAAATACATGTGTGTACTGAATGGCTGCTGGAAATTGTGAGGTGATTTTAGCAGAGGTTTTAAAATGGGCAGGCGTGGGGACCGGTGGGACCGAGGGCGGGGATGTCTCTGTAGAACAGGGGACCCCCGCCCTGGGGGACACCACCCTCGCCTAAGCCCGTGGCTGCGTGCCACTTAGGTTTTTTTCCGGATGCCTCGGTCACGCTGTGAGGGGTCTGCGCACATGCCCCCGTCGGCCTCTCTCTCGCGGCACGGAGAGAGGGCCTCCCTGGACAACGCTCGACCTGGACCTATCGATGGAGGGAGGAGCCTCCTTGCCTGAGCATCGGGAGCAAAGGGCCCGAACCGCAGGGGTCCTCCCAGAGTGGGTCGCGCCTGCCTGTCTGTCAGACATGGGACTTGGAACCCGCTCACCAGCCGGGCACAGGGCGTGGCTGGGGGAAGACCCCCGGCCGACTTCTCATGCCGGAGCCTGGTGTGCCCAGCAATGGGCTGGCCCCCTGTCCAGGGTTGTTCCCTGCCTCGTGCCCATTGCTTCCGGGATAGGCTCCGGATCCCCCGCGACCCAGTAGGATAAGAGGGTTGGATAATGGATGGATAGATGGGTTTTAAAATGGTTAACATTTTGACAGGCATAATACACCAAGATCATTTTCAAACATCATTTCTTTTTGCTGCCTAAGACTTTTGCACAGTACAGTATTTACTTTAGAATACTCAATACAGTGAAAATACAAGTTTTCTGAAAAATCATGGGTTATGGGTTTTCTGTTATACAAATCTGTGCTGCATTGTCCAATATTATTTCACGGTTCCTCTGTTTTCAGGTGCTGCCTAATCAATGCAGCTGAAGGGCACATTGTGATAAACAAACAAAATGACAATTCATTAAAGGAGATGCCGTTCAAATGCTGTGCCCTTTTCAAGAGAAATTATTTTTATAGTGAAATGTTTGTTTAAATGAACGTGCATATACTTCATGCTATATGGAGCAGACCATCCTTGTCAAATACGCAAATACACTTGGTCAAATGAGTAAGAATTGGTTAGGATTTTCAGAGATGCTTTCTCAAATAGAACCAATTGGGGACTTTTGAAAGGAACATTTAATCACGACAATGTGAAAGCACATATTTACCTCCAAAAAAAACACAGATGTGCCTATTAAATTACGCTACCGATAGGAAAATATTTTAGGTAGAAAACATTTTCTGATCACTGTACTTGGATACTATAGGACTACGAGATAGAGATATGCAGGCAAAACTCACTTTTCATTGTATAATCCATCTCTTAGTACAGCGGAATCAATAAAAATTCATTTTCAGCAGACGTTCAACGAAATAGTGGAATACGACACAAATTTCTATTAAAAATATGGAACTTCTGTTAAACCTGTGGCCAATATGTACAATCGATCTTTCTCAAGGCATGTTATTTAATAATGACATCGTAATCCGATTTCAAATATTTCACAAAGTTATAACAGCAACCGTTAACAGCACTTCCCCCATAAACTTAAACAGCGCCACTTACAAGAAAACTACAAATTGATATTATACTCATTGATACGTTTATAGCAGGGAGCATAACATTAATTCAGCAACGCGATCTATACGTACGACGGATCTTTGCAGAACCGTACAGTATTTTAAAATATGACACATCCCCTCAAATAAAAACAAACAGTCGTAAAATGTCTTCGCATGCGCGGTAGAGACAACCGGTCTGGGAAGGTACGTGGCTCTGATGCACATGCGTGCTGCAAATAGGGAAGGAGCTGCAAGTCGGGTAGCGATAGTGCGCACGCTCGGCCTATGACGTTCAGGAGCTGCGGATCGGGCAGCGCCCCGTAAAGTTTAATAGAAAGGAAAACAAAGCAAAACAAAAAAACGTAAAGTATAATGTGGTGTATGTATGCGCGAAAGTAGTACTGCATGCGCAGATGTGTAAGCTGCAAATCTGGCAGGAGCTGCAGATCGAGTAGAGATAATTGTACGCATCGAAATATGCTACCAGGAGGTTCAGCGCATGCGCAGAACTCAATCTCGGGTTCATCTCGGCTGTTTTTTCCACGCCCATAAATCTATGCTACCTTCGTGTGGAAACATCGGGTTTTGGTGAGTAATATCATAAAAATATTACTATCATCGTCAACTTATACTTGTAAACATGTAAATACATACTGGTTTTGCTGCACAATTGAGAAGTTACCTTATAATGGCGAGCCACACGTGTTTAAATCTAATTTTAACACAGCGTCCACCGTGACGGAAATGGGTTACGTGTATGTTTTTTTTAGATGTTAGCCTGATCGTTATATCTAAATACTTGTGTCTATTAACCTGTAACACCCTGGGCGGTGTGGCGGGGGGTTAAAGAAATTTTGCCTGAAGACATACCCAAATCAAAGACTGTGGAGTTCAAATAGTGCCGAAACCTAATAAACTCTCAGAGTATGCTTCACAAATGCACCATATATTTTACATACACATAACACAACTTTCAAACAAGCACACTGTGCTTTGTAAATGCCAGACACGACCATCAACCAAATTATGCACGCTTTGTAAATATAAAAGTACTTTCTCACAAATGTAAGCCAGTTTGAAGTCAAACCACATCACATTCCGCATATAAAAATGTATTACATGTGCAAAAACCAAGTACAAGTACAAAAAAAGTACCTTTCTATTTATGGATCATGTGACTTGGCACGATTTTCTTCCAAGCATTTTTGTGTTGCGAGATTTTCTCACAAAGGGGGGTGGATAGAATCAACGTCTTAAACACCAGATGGCGCTCCAAGTACGTTTACTGCATCCTGCTGGAGAATTCCTCTCTTTGGCTAGCCGGTGAGAGGACTAACCGGATTCAAGGTCATGATGTGCAGTGTGGAGATACATTTAAAAAGAGCGGCCAGCTGCAGGTCAGTTTTTTTTTTAATTTTTAAGCTGGTTAAAAGTTTTTTAAGTCTAACCATTCTGAAGGCTAGTGAAAGAGTGGAAAACTAAAGCAGGCTGTGGTAAAATACTTACAGCCCCATCTGCTGTTTAAGGAAATTGATGCTATCCAGCCCATTTCTGATAAAATCTTGAGACACAGTGCTGTCAAGAAAATCACCCTGTAGTCGTAATTTAATTGCCTTGGGCAATTACACCATTCGATTTATAAAAATAATGTCAAAATTTCATCAAAATTATTTTTTCTTCTTGATACCATATGCATGTGGTATCAATCTGTGCTGCATTTTGTCCTCAAGACAAAATAGGAGAAAAACAGTGAGTTTACATATGCTACATCTTTGCATGTTGTTTTTTGTGCACCCTGAATATTCATTAGGCAGCAGAATTAAGACCCCCAACCTTTCCCGATCCTGGACTTCATACATCGTTTTAACGCTCTAACTCCGCTCAAACTGATGAATACTTTAAATTTCCAAAGGTGCACTTATGAGATTTGAATGATAGTCATTGATATTTTTTGTTTAGGGTGGATCTTCAGCATTCTTACAGCATCATTAAAACTTTGTGTAAACCATTTGGGTTTGATCCTGGGCCCAGTTAAGTTATTAAAGATGATAATAATAATTTCTATCTGGTAAAGTCTTTCTCTTGTGTTCTCTAGCTATGGAGAAAAAATGGGAAGAAGTTTATGACTTTCTTTCTCTGAGAACATACCCATCAGGGTATAGCAAGT